GTCTCTCCACCTCAGGACATTTGCATATGCTCTTTCCTCTGCCTGGAATATAACCACCGTCTTTGCCTAGTTAACTCACATTCATCCATTCACTTTCAGCTCAACCATAACTTTTTTGGGAGACCTTCCTTGAAATCTGTGGCACTACCTCTCCTGTCTGCCCCCCACTCTAACCTTGACAGTTTAAAAGTATTTGTGTGATGACTGGATTACTACTTTCTTCCCGACTAGACTATAAGCTCCATGAGAACTCACTATGGCCCTAACCTGAGTGGGCACGAAAAACGACTGGCTAAATAAATCCATGCTGGCTTCTGACATAGCTCCTAGAGCACAGAGGTGGTAACAATGCCTGAGAGCCAAAACTGCTAAACCAAACCCAGAATGTCTGGGGTGGCAGCTAAGGAGGAGGACTAAACACACAATTCAACTTAATTTATTTTTGAGAGACTCCGAGGTCTAAGGAGTTTCATTTGGCTTTTGAGGATTTGGGCAACATTCGCTAAATTGATAAGCAAGTTTTACTTTGCAACAGCCCCTTTGAAGTAAGGATCATTAATTCCCCATTTTTCATTTTCAAAAGATGCTGAGTGCACTGAGGTCAGCGTTCTGCCATTGAAAGACAAAAACCACGTCACAGGAAAATCACATGCCCCCATGGACCGTGCACTTTCAGGATTAGTTGAATCTGGAAGCTAAAGAAAAATGGATCATTTAAGCAGAAAAAGCCATCTGAATGAAACCCAAAGGACCTCATTCTGTTTTCTAACTGCTTTAGGGAATTCACATTTAATCAAAAGTGAAGACTACAGCCCTTGCCATGAGAATTCTTGCATCTTATCTCAGTTTTAGCGATTTCTTTTTAATTAGTGGATGCTCTGCAGATATCCTAAGTGCTTGAAACAATTGGGAACAAATAAAAGAGGGAGTTGTGGTTGCTTATGGCAGAATTGTGTTTGCTTCCTTGGTTTTGGGCAATTTTGCTAACAAGTAACCTGTAACCTACTTCTAAGGCTACAAGTAGATAATTCTTTGGTTAATTCTCATACTTCAGTTTATAATCCTAATTAGTTCTCCAACTAGCACTCCCTAGGCAATGTACAGTCCACTCTCATCACATATGTGATTCCTGCTCTTTGGGATTGCCTGTTTTCATTTAAAAGATGAAAAGCTTAACTTGTGCCCAGAATTCCTGTGTTTTTATGCATTGTCATATACTCTTGCTAGGAGAGTTAGAATACTCTGTAATTTAAAATGCAAAGGGAACTGAGCAAAATTCGTGTCACTGTGAAACAATTTCTCTTATTGTAATCATGACTGAGTTGCAAATAGTAACATAACCTGGACAGGCTTTGAGTTACTTCTGGAGAAGCAGATGGCGGCACAGCCGAGAGAGGGAAAGGGCTTGGCATCAGGTGGATGCAAATTCAAATCCCATCTCTACGCTCATCCTGGCAGGGTTCTGAATCAGAGTCTAAATGGTTGATAAGGCCAGCGGCCTCGCAGAACTGCCCCACGGATTTGGCAAGAGGGAGAGATCAAGTGTTTTGCACATACATGCCTGATAATCTGTGCATCGGTGCTATCCCATAGAAATATAATATGAGCCACACGTGTAATTAAAATTTTTCTAGTAGCCACATTAAAACGTAAAAAGATGAAATTAATATAATTATTTTATTTAACCCAACATACACAAAATATTTTCCGTTTAACATGCATAAAAATTATTGAAATATTTTGGGGTATTTTTTAGTACTAAGTCTTTGCGATCCCTTTTCTCAGAACATTTCAATTTAGACTAACCATATTTTAAGTGTAAGAGCCTCATGTGGCTAGTGGCTACTGTATTGGACAGCACAGCACTGGATGATCAATGAATTCTCATTTCTTCCCCTTTGTGTTTCAGAAACAGTTTAAACTTGAGTCATCTAGCCAGTGGGGTGGGTGCTATGGAGGACTGGGACTCTGTGCTCATTCTGAAATTTATCTAGCCATGAGAAAAACAACCACTAACACAATGACTGAGGGAGTATAGGTACTAGTGGCTGGTTGAATTTTACTTACCTTAAACACTATAGTTCAAATGGGAAAAGAAATGTATTCTTTGATATTAAAAATGGACATTCAAATCAAATAGTGCTATGAGATGCAACTAAAAGTTTGAAAAATAAATCCATAGAGTTGTCAGATTCAGTTGGTCTAAACTTGGGGTTTTTGCACCTTTAGCAGAGGTCTATGAATGGATTTTGGGGGCATGAAAAGCCTCTAAAAGTATCTGCAATTTATTTGTGTAATTTATTATATGTACATTTTTCTGTAGAGAGAATCTACAGCTTTCATCCGATTCTTTTTGTTTTTTTTTAAGGATTGGTACCTGAGCTAACAACCATTGCCAATCTTCCTTTTTTTTTTCCTGCTTTTTCTCTCCAAATACCCCCAATACGTAGTTGTATATTCTTAGTTGTGGGTCCTTCTAGTTGTGGCACATGGGATGCCACCTCAACGTGGCCTGATGAGTGGTGCCACGTCTGTACCCAGGATCTGAACCAGTGAAACCCTGGGCCGCCGCAGTGGAGTGCCCAAACTTAACCACTTGGCTACGGGGCTGGTCCCCATCTGATTCTTAAATGGGCCAAGGAAATACAGTATAAGCAGCTTGGGCGATAGAAAGGCCTGTGGGTTGCAGTGGAAGTTCTGTTTACACGGGAGCTTGGGTTTCACGTCAGTGAGAACGGAAGCTCTAAGTTGTCTCTCGTCATTACCCAGGAAAATCCCTCAGCTTGCCCACCGGCTCAGAAATGCCTGTACTGAAAGGCACTTGGGAGCTCAGAGTCATTGAAGAAATGGCAGATTCATGTCTCCTGGCTTATGCTCTCTCCAGGGCGTCCACTGGTGAGATGTGTTTGTTTTTTGGTTGAGGGCACAGGGTTGAACGCATCTATGTTAACTGTGCACTTGATGGCTACCTCTCCCCTTTAGACGCGGTGATAGGAGCGGTGGGAACAGGTGTTGGGTTCTGAATTCAAATTCCAGTTTTTTAATAAGCCGCATTTGTCTCCTTGAGTCTCCCGCTTATCGATAAAGTGACGATTTCTAAGGTCTCTTCCAATTCCTTTTAGGAGTTGATTTGCTAAATTAGATTTAGCGAATATTCTATTACATTGCAAATTATGACCAAGTGCATTCATATGACAAAGTTATTTAAAAAAATAAGTTGTGGGGCTGGCCCCAGGGCATAGTGGTTCAGTTCAGTGTGCTCTGCTTCAGTGGCCTGGGTTCGTGGGTTCGTATCCCAGGTGCAGACCTACACCACATCAGTCATGCTGTGGCAGCAACCCATGTACAAAATAGAGGAAGATTGGCACAGATGTTAGCTCAGGGCTAATCTTCCTCAAGCAGAAAAAATAAATAAATAAAAGGAAGATTAGCAACAGGAGTTAGCTCAGGGGGTATCTTCCTCAGATCAAAAAAGAAAAGTTGGAATTGAAGGATCTGCAACTGGATTTTGATATATGTTATATTTTTGGTAAGGAAGATTAGCCCTGAGCTAACATCAGCACCAATCTTCCTCTATTTTGTAGTGGGATGCCTCCATATTGTGGCTGATGAGGGAGGTAGGTCTGTGTCTGGGATCCGAATCCGTGAGCCTGGGCCGCTGAAGTGGAGCACATGGAACTTTAACCACTAGGCCACGGGGCCGGCCCCTGAATATGTATTTTTTATTTCCCTCCACTTTTTCATAAGTGGCACAGGCTGAGCCCTAAATGCAGAGGCACGTGAGGAGCCCTGATGGGAAACCCCTCTGCTTGACTCTGACGTTGCATGACTGTGTAGGTGGGAGCTCTTGGTTCTTGCAGCCAGGCACGTTTATCTGACCTTTAACAAGAACATACAAGAGGAGGAAAACTATTTCCCCAAAGAAACCTGTACACTTATATACACCTTGCAGCAATTCATATTCATCCCACCTCTGTTTGTTCTCTGTGAAATCTTCTCTAGGAAGACAGGGTATGAGGTCTGAGCACTGGGGACGGGGAGCTTCTCTTGGGAGCCAAAGAGCCAATGCTGCTGGAAGTTGAACTGGGAGAGTAGTGGAAAACCATGGCCCCAACAGTCCACCTTGTGCAGAAAGTTCTCTTTGGAGGGTTGATTAGAACAATGTAGCAAAGGTAATTATCTTTCAACGCCTGGTTCTGGAAGAGTTAATGAACAGACATCTTAACAGTGAGGAATAAGTATTTCGGTGCCTTACTTTCATTAAGCTGTTCTATTGCAAGTGTGACTACTAATTAGTCTGAAGATTTTGGCCCCAAAGGAGGCATTTTGGTTGGATCAGGTTCTGTGGGAGAAATCGATGTCTGAAATGCCTGAACACTTGGTCGTTTTCATCAAAATTTCTGTCAGAGCACTGAGTAAAACAGATGTCTGGCATCATGGCGAATGACACCCTTCCTAATCCTATCTTTACTTTTTTGTCTTTTCAGTAGGTATTACAGCTGAAATTGGCGTAAACACTATAATTAGGGAACAATTTGTAGCAAATTCATTATTTAGGATCCTGGGGGTTGTTGGAGTCTGAAAGATACCAGTTTTGAAGCCCCCCCACTTTGGTGACCTTTGTTATTCTATGAAAATATTTTGCAATTTGCCAATGGATCTTAGAAATGGAAAGTTGGGACTAGACACCCAGAGATGTTAGTTATTACGGGCAGGCAGGAATGGTTGAAATATACCAAAGAAATGTCATTGTAAACGTGACCCTGACCGATGTACTTGCTCATAGTTATCCTTGTTTATAGGCTACTGGGCCAGGGTGAGGCTTTCTGCAAGACAGAAAGTCAGAATGCAGGATTCAACGGTAAATTTGAATCCTTATTTTTGCTGACAGACCTTGGTTTTGCATCTGTCTTTGGGTTCCAGGCAGAATGCAGGCGCCGAACGATCTGAAAGCCTCAAATTCTTCCAAAGCAGCAGGCAATACAAGGAAGGAAAAAATAAACACTGCAAAAGGCTTTTATTTCATAGGCACCACTGCAAAATGAGGAATCGCTTCAACACATATCAAATAGAAAATAATAATTTATTTTAACTTCATTTCACTTAATGTTCGTAACTAATCATGATCTTGTGAACTTGCTTGTAAAAGTCTGTCCCTTCCAATCTACAAAGCAAAGGTTTACTACAATGAGCACTTACAATTCCACGAACCGTCTTCATCCACAGCTTTCCTGTACATGCAAATTCTTCCAACGGGCTGCAAATATTTGCACACATGCTTTAAACTTCTATAAAGCTGCACGATATTTTGCTTTCTGTTGAAACTTTTACACTCTCTTGGGAACTTTAACCAGAAAAATGTTTCAATGCGTACCCCAATTCTACACGCTGCTGGTTTGGTTATGTGTATTAAGTTGTTAACCACAGAGTTTCGTGGTTTTGAGTCAAACCTCGACCTAAATAATATATTAATGGTCACTCATAGGAAACACATTCAGCAAAGTAACATTATAAAATAGGCTTCCATTAAAAATACACACTGGCAGTTGTATTTGTGTTTTCGGCAGGAAAAAAAAAGCGTGTTTAACTTTTTTATATGAATATAGAGTAAGCAAATTATTCTGTGAAAGTATGCTTAATAAAAGATCTTTTTGAAATTTAAACACTTTATGTAAAAGGTAACAAGTAAAAAAGTACAATTGCTATTTGAAAAAAGCTCTGTTAGGGTGGTTTTGTAAAATAGAGCTCTGACACCCAGAGTTGGAGAGTTCCCCGATTTTGGCTATAAACATGACGACCGTACTCATCTTATATACAAAAACTTGCCGCATTGAACGAGGCAGGAATTTCTACCCCACTGGTAGTGTTCTCTTTAAAATTATACAGTAGTCACCGATAAGAACGAATTGTATACTCTAGTGCCGTCTGGTGATTTTGTGCCGTGGGTCAAGAGTTCTTGGATTGTCATCCAATTATCAAATATCTTTTTATTCCTCTTCTTCATCATCTTTTTGTGGCTCAGCTCAAGGATGTTCATCTCCTTCCTGTCCTCAGCTCCTTGCTGCTCCTTCAGGCAATCCAGCCTGCTCTGCATCATGAACTCGCGCCTCCGCCTCTGCTCCCTGGCCTTCACCACGTGCTGCTTCCGCTCCTCCTTGCTCCAGTACCGGCCCATCTTCAGCTCGCTCATGGCATCGTCATCGGTGGTCATGCCGCTGCGCTCCTCGCGGATCTTGAGCGCGCGCTCCCTCAGCAGCCGGTCCCGCACGGGCCGCTTGGTGATGTAGCGCGTCCCGTCGCTGCGGATCTTCACTTTCCACTCCATTCTCGGTTCCGACTGGTTGGCAGAGTTCAGGTCCTTGCACATGCTTACCAGACTCATCTGGCTCTGTGCGTACTCCACGGCCGACTTCTGCTGGATCAGCTGCATGTAGCTCTGGTAGTGCTGGGCGTGGGCCGGGATGTGGGCATGCTTGTAGGGCGAATGCTGGAAGGGCGACAGGTAGGAGCTGCCCAGCTTCTGGCTGGGCGTGGGGCTCCCGCTGCCATCACTGGCTTTCCTCTCCTTGCCCTCCAGGGCCTGGCCGGGGTCAAGCTCTTTAGGAGAGGAGCTATAGGGAGGGGTGCCCACTTCGGGATCTTCCGTGATGGAGAGCAGATTCTTTGGGGATGGCCCATAAGCTTCGGAGGTCCCCACAGCCCCCTCGCTGCCCGGACAGCTGCTGCCCTCTGCCACTCTCCTCAAGGAGTTATCGGGGGACATTTCCAAGGTGAGCGGGGTGCTCCGGCAGCTCTCGCCGGTGTTGTAGGCACTCGAGCTGTCTTTGTCGGATTTCTCGGGGAGCTCGGTGATGTCCGAGAGCTCGTGTCTGCGGACGTCGACGCTGGTGTTGTAATTGCGGAAGCCGCTGTTGTGTAGCATCCAGGACTCGCGGTACTGCTCCTTGAGCTGCTGCATCTTGTGCGCGCGCACGATGCTCAGGCACTCCAGCTCGATGCTGCGCAGCTCCTCGTTCAGCAGCTCCAGCTCCTTGTCCACGCTCTCGGGGTCGCTCTTGCTGGCGTCCAGGGGGCTGCTGGGGTAGTAGAGGCTGTAGGGGCTGGCGCTCTTCACCTGGCACTTGAGCTCCAGGAGTTCCCGGAAGCGCTCGCACTCGTCCACAGGGATGCCCAGGTAGTCGGCGTCGGCGCAGTCGGCCGAGATGAAGGACTCGTTGCTGAAGGGCAGGTCGCCGCTGCCCAGGGTGTCCTGGCTGCACGTGAGCTTCCTCTGCCCGGCCAGCGGGGTGGAGGACGCGGTGGCGTCATCGCCATTGTTCTCCTGCTCCGAGCTCTCGTCGTTGCGCGTGCTTTCATCGGTCCGTCCCACACCGCTGTCCTTCTCGTGCTGGTTGGACAGGATGGTGGCTGTATCTGTGGTGCCCCCGTCTTCTTCATGCTTCTTCTACACAACAGAAAACAAGAACAAACAAGCACGGTGAGAAAGGTACCAGGTGTGACCTTCCCTTGTAGGACAAGGGTTTCTGGAGAGGGCGGGCTCTCCATTTCCAGAGCTGAGGAGCAGTATTTGATGAGGCCTAGGACAAGGGCCTGGGAATTAGCCAGACCTACGGCTTACTACCTGGGCCAGCCACTTATCTTCACGCTCCTCTGTAAAATGAGGATAGCAGTCACCTTGCCTCAGTGAATGATTCTAGCTATCCTATGACCCAGTGCATGGGAAGCAGGCAGCATCTAGGGCCTTCCATATAAGGTCTTCCTCAGCTCACTCATATGGTACTCAGTGGGTTATGATGACTTTGATAATGGTGGTGGCATAGAAGGGAGTGAAAGGGTGCTAAGTGGCTCAGGTTAAAGGGGAATTGCTTTACTTTCAAAAACATGACTTGGTTTTCTCTGATCTACGTGAATGCTGGCATATGTGTTTTCCAAACACATCTCAGAAGGTCAGCTGTGCCTCAGCATTATCGCTCCGCTTTAACAAGCCAAGCAGCGCTCTCCCGGCCGGGGAGGGGATCCGCTTACAGTTCCCGAGTGTGCAAATAGAAAGGCACTCAGTTTGCTTTCTCGCTGCCTTCCAGGCGGGTGGGTTTCTGATGGTCTCTAGCCTCATGGAGGGAGATGGAGAGAGCAGACTGGCCTTGAGGGCTGGCCGCGGGCCTTACCTGCTGGAGCACACTCGCCGTGAACTGCATGGCCTGGTGGTGCTGCTCCTCCAGCATGTCCATGTGCAGGTCGTCCAGATAGTCGTTTCTGTCATCGTCCATCCAACCTTCATCCAGCTGTGGAGAAGCAGCAGCCAACAGATGCCTCAGAAGAGATTCCTTTTGCTTTCATTTTATTTATTGTTTCTAAGAAAGGATATTATTACCTTGGGGAAAAAGATTTTTAGGGCTCCCTCCAGGAGTCATCAAAATGCAGTCTGCCCATCGTTTTGCTATACGTCAGAAGACTATCCCATCCCCACATTTAAGAGACCTCCACCCTCCACCGTGTCTGGCAAAGTCTCTAGTGTCCCATGTTCTTTTTGCAGGGTGAAGCTCCTTCATCCACGTCAGCTACTTTCAGAGAAGCGGGCCACCGGTGTAGGCGCCTGCTGCTTGCCAGCCCTCACACAAGCTTAGCAGGCCCCAATGTTTTTCCTGACAGAAAACCAGAGGTCTACGAACAAGCTGTTTGGCTCGGGCAAGGCCTACCACTTTTATTAGACCCTTTTCTTCCTTGACTCTAAGAGAGCAGACTATTCAGGGCTCTGAGATCTACAGCTCATGGGCCAAATCTGGTCTACTGTGTGGTTTTGTTAAAAAAAAAAAAAAAAGTTTAATCGGCACACAGCCGCACCCATTTGTTTAGGTATTGTCTGCGGCTGCTTTTGCACGACAACAGCAGAGTCAACCAGTGGCAACAGAGACTGTATGGCCCCGACAGCCAAACATATTTATCCTTTGGCCCTTTAAGGAAAAGTGTGGTGACCCCAGGATGAGATAATTGCTGCATTCCTTGTGAGCTCAGGATGCTGTCATCTGTGATGAATCAGACACCCTTTCTGCGCTGTTCCTAGATTGTTAAAGAGATCCACTGCACCAGATACTCTGCTAGAGCTAGTCAAAATAGGTCAAGAGTGCCACCCAGTACAGCTGATGATCCCCTCTGCGGAAGGAGTTACCGTGGCCCAGTGGCTTCTGAGTTGGATTGATGGGGCCCGAGTCCCTCTCGGCTCTGTGGTCCTTGGCTGCATCTCTCTGGGTAACTTGTGGACCTCAGGGGAGGAACCTGTGTGTAAGGTGCTCCTCACAGGGCCTGCCTCTCACTCATCAGGCGGTCACCAAGTGTTAGTTATTACTTATCAGTGTTTCTTTCATTTTTCTTTTCTTAAATAAAAACTGCATTATGTTTAAGGTATATATCATGATGATTTGATATACATATATATAGTGAAATGATGACTACAATCAAACTAATTAACACATCATCTCCTTGGAGTTACCATTTTTTTGGTGATGAGAGCAAATCAAATTTACTCTCTTAGCAAATTTCCAGTAGTCAATACAGTATTATTAACTATAGTTGTCATGGTGTACGTTCCCTGCACTCTGCAGTTATAAATGGGACCCACACAGATCGAGGCTGGAACATTCGTCAGGCCTCGGAAAGTCAAACATCTTGACAGCCACGACCATGGCTATATTTTCCATTCTGTTTCCTTCTTTTTCCCTTCATTACGATCCCTGCATTAATGAACCTGCTGGGCCTACAGCATAAATGCCAGAGTGGATGTCAGCACCATTCTTAAATGGTTAAAACACAGAACAGATTCCCTATTCAGGGGACAAAACACTTTCAAGTTCAGATTCAATGCTTGGGCAGTCTCTGCAGGGCTAGGCACTTGGCTTTGTTGATTTTAGAAATACAGACCCAGCTTCACATGCAGGAAGCCGACCCACCTGGAGTTCGGGCCTTGCAATCAGCAATGAAAAGTTCTTGTTTTCTTCACTGGTTAAAAGAGCCACAGCCTCTTCACGGTTCTGTACCTCTATTCCATTAATCTTCAAAAAAAAAAAGAAAAAGGTGGAGGGGTGGACAATAGCACAATTAAATTGTGCAAAATCATTTTATATTGTTTCAGGCCTACATCTGCCACCCGCCCGGAGCTGGAACACAGGATTTCCACACAGCTTGCAAAGAATGCTGATGTTGAGAAGGGAAGGCCTTGCTCAGACTGGTCTATGAGAGAGCCTCCATGGGGCAGATCAGAAGACGGCCATAAAGTGGAGGCTCTGTGAACGGAAGTGGCTGGGACTCCAGAAGGCAGCACAGGGAAAAATCACAGCGTTGTGAAGAACGAACATCTAAGCAATTTACTTAGATGTAACACTTGGGCAGGAGTAGAAATGGAATACACGAAAGCATGACTGCAGATATTTTCAGGTAACATGGGAGAAAAGGAAGTGACGGGTCTGATGTGAACATTATGGAAGTGGAGGGCAGAGAAGGAAATGGAATTATACCAGGTGTTTTGTGTCCCCAGTTTGGCACTTGAACTTCTCTAGGCAGGACAGAAGGTCAAGTGGGAGGGATTCTCTCACTGTCACACCTGATAACTCTCTTGCAGGATTTTTGCTTCTTGTCTTGACAAGTTTGAGCTCTGCTAGTCTGGAGGTTGCAATCCCAGGGTGGACGATTCCTCCAGGGGACACAGCCACAGTCCCACTGAACTGGAAGGTCAGCCTTCCACCTGACTCCATATGCCAGTGAACCAACAGGCAGCAAAGGGGGTGACTCTAATGGTTGGGGTGATTGATCTCGGTTACCCCGGGGAAATGGGGTCGCTGCGACACAGTGGAGGCAGGTAGGGCCATGTAAGGAACCCTGTACTTCCAGGCCCAATGGAAAATGCTAACGGAGAACTATAGCAACCAAAAACGGCAGTGTTGCTGAGGGTTCAGACCCTTCAGGAATGAAGGTTTGGGTCACTCCACCAGGTAAGGGACCCTGAGCAGTTGAGGTTTGAGTTGAAGTCTGTGAAATGTAGAATAAGCAGCAGAAAAGGAAAATAAAAATTACTTAGGGTGAATAAAGAGTGGGCTAGAAAATGAGAAGATACGCATGAGAGGAGGCAGAAGCTAAGCCTTGTGGGACACAGTGAACCAAAGAATCTCAATTTCTGTGAGATTAAAAAAGACCATAGCTGGGGGCAGGCCTGGTGGCGTAGTGGTTAAGTTCGTATGCTCCACTTTGGTGGCCCAGGGTTCGCAGGTTTGGATCATGGGCTCAGATCTGCACACTGCTCATCAAGCCATGCTGTGGTGGCATCCCATATACAAAATAGAGGAAGACTGGCACAGATGTTAGCTCAGTGACAATCTTCCTCTCACTCACACACACACACACACACACACACACACACAAAAGACCATAGCTGGAAGTGAAACAAAGTGTCTCATTTTGACTTTAAAGAGCAACAGGACTCAAAGAGACTACCCTCAGAGGCCATTCCACATAATAGTTAAATGTGGAGCCATGAAATTTAAAACACTGTTCAATCCATTTTGCTAAATTTGCCAAAGATGTTCCCATTTTTAGGATGAGACCAAACCTGAAATGCTTGGTCCAAAATGAATCCTTCAGAGAAGTCTAAAATAAGAATTATTCTGGTTCACAAGTTGTAAACTATTGCCCTGATTTGGCACAGTAGTGTGTTATCTTTGGCCCAAAGAGAAAAGAAAATGAGGTGAGCTGGTTCATATCCTGTAAGATGCTGGGGCAGCTGCCCTCCTTAGATGGGCATTCTTTCTCCAATTTGTCTCAGTCCTCACCACTCCCTCTTGCATGTTATTTTCAGAGCTTGTGCTTCACTGGTTAATTTAACTTGTTTTGCCTCACTGCACATCTGATTTGGGGATCCCTGTTCTTAAACTTCTTATGCATTTTCAACCCTAAAGCCATTATTAGAACCAGTTTGTTCTTTCATGATAGGCAGAGGGTGAGGCCGCAGGTCAGAAGCTGACGTACCTGGATAATGCGATCTCCTTCTCGGATGCGCCCATCCTTGGCTGCAATGCTGTTAGGGTCGATCTGAAACACACAGTGGACATTTCAGCCCTGAGTGGATAACTCAGACATGCATTAAAATAAACAACAGCACTCTCCAACGGCTCTGTCTAACACACAGTCATGCTCATCCCTCTGTTTTTGTTTTGCAGAGAAATAAACAAGACTTAGTGTCATGCAAGGAGAGACAGACACAGATTGATCTGTTTCCAAGCTATTTCCAGGGTCTGTTCTTGGATCCCTGCATGACAACCCTGTTATACAATTGTGTGTAGAGACCCCGCTGACCTAGGGGATGGAAGGGCACAGCTGACTTCTGTTGCACGCACGGTAATGAAAGTCAGAAGTGTGATGCAGACCAGGTTAAAGGGTACCCTTCCTTAGGCTGATGAGCACCCATACCTTGATTACCAAATACTTATATTAAATTTTGGAAATTAACTTTAAAAACAAAATATAATTGAGACAAGTGGGACTGAATATGGGAGGTGCCCTAACATGCAGTAATGATGGATCAGCTTAAGCTTGTACATCCAAAGGGATAATTATTAAATGTAGTAGACACATCCTTTGGTTCATTCCATAGAGGCAGATTTTATTTCCTGACAAAATTGGGTTTATGTGCTTGCAAAGATGGATGTACATGGTAAAGGATCCATTAGTTGCTTTGCATCGTCTTCTCTAGGAAGATCAACACCACGTCCATCTGTGTACTTTGAAGTTGCATTTAACTTCTATGAATTCAACTATACACATTCCACCAAAAGAAAAAAAAATAAAGAGATAAAGAAATAGTTTAAAAAGCGTAAATGATTCCATCCAGTATCCCATTCACTGAACATGAGTCAGGAAATGGGAATCTGTGGTTCCCTCGGGGTTGAACACACAGAAGCACTTAAACGGCTCCATTTTATGGCTGATTTGCAGGCTTCTCAGGGGTAATTTTGCCTTCTGTGCTGACATTAGAACTTAATCCCCATGCAAAGATGTAACTCCATGGAGTGTGATGTAGGACACAAATTTGTGTCCTCCCAAAGACTTCTCCATGAGCCAGACATAAGGGTTGGTTAACGCTAAAAGAAAAAAAACCCAACTTCTTTTGGTCTTGACATGATAGTTATAAGAAATTAGCCTTCCTACCTCACTTATATAAATCCCAATGTCGTCCTCGTCATCTGTCCGGTAGCACACTGTGAGTCCCAGCTTGTCCTGGCTGTTCATTCTGTAGAGATCCACTTCCTAGACAAAGAAAAGGTGGTCCCAGTGAGACTCCAGCTGGCAGTGAGAGCTGGAAGGATGTCAAATGCTTCAACAATATTTTGTTTCAATGATGAACTGGATTTCTTTGCATTCGACTGTGTAGAGCGGTTAACTTACTAAACAAAAAGTGATTATGGGCACGGGATCAATGCCCAGGGCATTTCTGAGCTCTCAGTCAATATAAAGTCATTTTGAAAATAGTTATTTTATTGATCTCCCAAAAGAAAAATTACCTATATTTCACTCAGCGTCAAGACTTCTGGGGTAGGGCTTTTAAAAAGCATTCTTTCAATGTCTGCCACAAAGAAGAATATCTCCATACCCCAACCCAGCCAGCCATTTCAGTACAAATGTTTCCAATGTGTTCGGTTAGATTATTTCACGTTGCGTTCCCTTAATATTCACAGTAATAGAACTTGCAAACAGATTACACATAAATTGATCCGAGAGAGGAGGGTAACGTGATAGTGTGCAATTAATGCTTTCCACAACAGCTGTGATATTTACAGTCGAGAAATTAGTTTCAGCCGCTATTACTGCAAATTAAATAAGATAAAAGCAAAGTGAGCCCAAATGCAAGACACATGAGCACAGGGAACGCCACTGGATTTGCCAGTTAGTCTACACTTCGGAATGAAGTCAGAACTTTGAACGTTGCTGGAGCCTCAGGAGGAAGTTCTGGGGTTGTCTGAAAGTGTTAACAGGACAGGCTGGCCTCTCCACACACAGTGCCCACCACCCACCAAAGATTCTGCAGCAGCAAGCTGCAGGCCTATCTGAAGGGCCGCCTGGTAGGAACACTGGGTCCTTGGTCTGCTTTCAGGGTTATCTGCTTGCCAGCCAGGAGGGTGGAGGGGCTCTAAGAAGTGGTCTTCAAGCCACCATCTCTGGGGACCATTTCTTCTCTCCAGGCTCTTCTCTGAGCATGGTGAGGACGCAGTTGCCTCTGCGGCGAATCTTAAAAGTGGTTACGTAGCAGATACTTCCTGAATCCTCCCCTGATAAGGGAAGGCTGCCCAACGCCATGGACACTTTCCAGGCAGAAGAACAGTAGGTGCAAAGGCCCTGGGACAGTAATGCCAAAGCCCTGGGTACAAGGAAGAGAGAGGCGGGCTGAGTATAGGGAGCTCAGATTTTATTTCAACATCATGGGAACCCATGGGAAAGTTTTCACTGAGGACTGCCATGATATGACGGACTATTTTCAGCAGTCTTTCTGGCTGATGTATGGAGTGTGACGTGGTGGTGAAGAGTTGGGGCTATGAATACAGGCAGACCTGTGTTCAGATCCCAACTCTGCCTCTTTCTAGCAGCTTCACCGTGGGCTTGTCCTATATGTAAGCCTGTTTCCCCACTAGTAAATGTCATCCTGCCACCTCAGGCAGGGTGAAGAGTCCCTGAGATGATGCTCTCAGTACAGTGGCTGGCCCAGAGAAAGTCCATGGAGAATGGTAGTTAATTATGTGCAGGTATGGTTACTCGCCTGAAGTCACAGAAGCTGTCTGTAGCAGAGTGGGTATATTTCACATGCCCCCCTCAATATGATTATTTTATTTTCTGAACATTGATATGTTAATTAATTCAATCACTTCCTAATTATAGCTTTAGCAATATGGCAAATTTTCATGAAATGAAATCTCATTAGTTTCTGATAATTTAGTTGAGTTGGATGGAAATTTCTTTCCTCATGTTTTGAGAAATAGACTAAGCAAAGTAATGGAGGGAGCATGAGTTCAAGGGTCATATTTAACCGTGAGGGCAAATTCTTTCCAAATATTTTGGCATGACCAATTTGCAGACCACAAATATACTAGTCACACATCATCCTCCTATGTTTCCAACAGGTCTTTCTCTGAGGTAACACGTCATTTGGGTCTGGGTGAAAGGAAAGACTTTCTCTGTTGGCACTTCCTCACAGTTAGCGTGAATCAGTGGAATTTCAGGATTATTTGTTTGGGTCCAACTGCACAATTGCAGCTGAAATGCTGCCACGGAGCCCTGCACTATCATGGTGGAAGCCAGCTGGTTCTGGAACAGGTCCATGTGCAAAGCAGAGAGAGATAACTGGAAAGGTTGTAGGAAGAGAAATGAGTAAGACAATAAATGTTGTGATATTACTTTTAACAGAATTAAAAATATAATAGAGGTTATAGCTTTTTCTAGATAATTGGCTGCCAAGATGAATATCTCAAGTAGAAAAGATATCATAGTTCCATTGGGCTTTATTCTAATACTACTCGAAGTATGGCTGTGAGGAAATAAGTACAGAAATTGAGAGGAGTGTTTAGAAACTTCTAGAACAGTTGGGCATTGTCATGATAACCAAGGGCAAGATTAGCAGACTTGTCCTACTGACCGTGGTGTAGACTGGTTCAGGTATTGTTGAACTCAAGGGGCAAGCTGTATGTAGGGTAAGCTATGTGGTCACATACGGCAGAACCACACATGGGTCACGCTAAAAATTAAACCAACTGGCCGACCTGTTCCTCATGGTTTTTCACTATTTATAGCGAAAGCATGACTTTATAATAAACATTTAGAATTGAGAGCTCCATTTGAGAACCCAGGAAAGTGAAAAGTCTGGAAATCATGTCTTGGAAAAGAACAGCATAATGTACTAGTGGTATTCAAGTAGGAAAAAGGAAGACTCATAAGGAATGTGAAAGCTGAAGGTCTGTGATGTAAAAAAGGATTACCTTTATTTGGCCAAGCACCAACAGTAGGCGGTCTGATATCGAAAGGGCTTAGTAAATGATTCTGACAGAAACCTAACGTGAAAAGCATTTCTACTCTATTTTTCTGTCAATATTTTGATTGACAGATATTTGGAGAACTACTGAGCTATAAATGTGGACATTCATTCATGTTGCTACTGGTGGGATGAATTTTTTTTTCCCGTACTTTTCCTTTCTGAATCTTCCAATTTCTTCCAACAAACCTGCATTACTTTGATAACCAAGGAGAAAACTTTCTTAGAACAAAATGTCAGGCGGGAACAGAGGACAGCTTAAAACATCTGTCACTTTAAAATATTTTCACCTGAATCACTGATGATAGAATAAAGGACCATATCATACGCTTTCCTTACTTATATGGTGCCGTTAACCCCACATGTGGTCCACTAATTAATAATAGATTCCCCATAAATACTGTTTGGAATTATATTACACACAACACATGCTGGCCAACATTACGACATTTTTGCACGGGAGAGAAGAGGTTCTCATGACCAGGTCTGTTTCCAGTTCTTGATGTCCTGAGCACACCTGCTGCCTCACTCTAGCAGAAGGAGGGAGAGCCCAACATGCATTAGCCTTTAAACCCCACTGCAAATTCTCCCAGGACTGACTGTCACGGGGACAGTCGCAGTCTCACGTTGGCTGGATTTGACTTAAGTACTGCAAAGGCCGGGATGAGAAGCCCAGGCCTGGCTCCAGCATGAGGCACACACTGTGTCAGGGCAGGGCACAGAAGGAGGCGGCTCGAGTCTGAAACACCCTGAGTATGTCAAAGCGATCTCCTCACCCCTAATTCCAGTTGGCTGTGAAGCAAAACTTTAGGACTTGATCTTTGAAACAGACTTAAGAATGGGAGTATAATTCTAGTTTCGGGGCAGTTCTCCGAAAGCAGCTTTCTATCTTGGAAATGGTCTGGTTTTAATAAAGGATGAGTGTTACTAGATGAACAAATGCTGAGAAAGCACATTTTAAGTAATAACACAGCAGAGGGTGTTCTGGAGTTTACTCTGGGTAGGTACTTAACATTGGTGTCAGATAGGATGGCGTGTTATCTGGATCTTCTCAGGAACTCTAAACAAAAGCCGGACAAGTGTCACTTAGAAGGCACATGGTATGACTTAGCTGTGGTCACTCAATTTCCAAGGGATAAATCAACATCATAGAGAAGAGCCTGGTTGCTAAGAGTTAAGCAAAGACCGAACCATAAAAGGTTTTCAGAAGTTCTTGGAACATAATGTAAGAGCAGCTGCTCTCTTTGGATCTGTATAGATTTGTGTTTTACCTTGGTCACTCATGAGAAGATAAGGCAATAGCAATTGAATAATAAATTGTGCAGTAAAAGCAGTGTCGAGCCTTATCCAGTGTGCACAGTGGGTGCTTAATAAAACTGAAGGAATGAGCCTGAGATCCCAAGGCAGAATAAAGATCCAAATAAAAAATAAGCAGGGCTCTGCCATTAACAAGCCAGGTTGCCTTGGGAGAGTCATTGCACTTCTCTGAAACTTCTCAGCCAAACTACAATTTTATAACCAAACACAGGATTTCGGGGCTCAGTGGAAATTAGAATTCTTCACACTTACTGGGTGGTTTGCAAATTCTCAACACTTCATCCTGACTCTGAGCTAGAGGCAGAACCTTATGCAATTGAGCACATCACAGAAAGCAGGAAGGTTATCAATACATATCTATCTGTCTGTGATGATGGAGATAAGATTTCAAGGAAGACCAGTAATCAAACAGGTATGAATAATGTATTAGCATTATCTGGATTACAGCTCCCCCCGCCACTGGTGTACTGTTGCTTACTGGTCTAGATGGACTGTTGGATAAGAATGAAGAGCTAAGCCTGACATTTCAGATGAAACTGAAACGACAGTTCAATTAAGAGAAGTAAGGCGGCCACTCCACTTTGGTGATTCGAGCTTTCTGTTTCAACATCAGCCTCTTTAATCAGAGGGCATCCCAAAGACTAGTTTCGATGGCTTTTCCACCTGTAGGAAGACTAGTCACTGAAGCATAACTCTACCCGAGCAGCCCCGGACTGCTGGGCAAATTTCTTTAAAGCATCTCAACACTTTCTATATCTATGCGAGATGGTCTGTGGGATATAGAGATGTCTCTAAGAAGACTGCATTTTCGTTCAAGGACCTTAAATTTGAGATAGGGTATAAGACATTTATTCCCTCATTTCAACAAATGTTCACTGGGTGCCTGCTAAATGCCAGGCACTGACTAGGCAGGAGGAATGTAACAGTGAATGAGTTAGATGAGAGCCCAGGTCTCATGGAGCTTGTATTCTAGTGGGGGAGCCAGACAATAAGTAGGACGTGTCACAGTTGGGGGAGGGGTGCTTTAGACACAGTGGTGGGAAACTTCTCTGGAGGTGACATTTGGACAAAGGACTGAGCCAGGCTGAGCTATGCTTGGATCTGGGGGAAGTGCTGTGCAGGCTAAGAGCAGGTGGGAGGACAAAGAATGGTCAAGTCCTGAGGACAGTGGGAGAGTGGTGAGGAGGCCGACTCAGTGAGGACAGAGCTGACAAGAAAGGTTCCCCGGAGGAGCCCTTGTGCTGTGCCTTAAAGGCTAAAGAAAATGTCTAGATTGGGTGGGGCATCCTGCATTATCTCCAGGACAGTCCCCATTCCCCTTGATCTACTTAGGCTACTCTGTGAAACCGGGTCTGAAGGTCATTTTAGTCCCCCTCTTGGATTGTAGCTTTCCTTTCCTTTCTGATCTCAGAATTACATCGTCAGAACACAACACAGGTGATGGCAGCTTCATAGCTTGGCTAGGATGCTACTGACGAATCAGCTGGGAAATTAAAACAATAGATTAAGGAAAAAGCCTTCTTTAGACACCTATTTTCTTTCTTAATTGCCTATAGGAAGATCTAGAGCAGGTGTTCAGTACCTGAAAATTTATGGGTAATTATTTGGCTGCTCAACCCGTGGGTATACTTGGGTATAATCCTTTTAACTCTAAGCAGTTTCACAATAACAGGGATTTGACACTTACCTAAATATGATCATTTTGTGTGCTTTAAAAGAGAACATCTGTTTTTCTCTGTGTATTTGCTTCAATAATATCCCAACATACTCATATATTTTCCTCCTATATAATATCCATGGAGCTGGTTATTTTTCAAAAGGTGTGGACGTTGATCTAATTCAACTTAGATGATGAGCAGTGTGTTGAGATTGAACCTTACTCAAAACAAGCCTGTTCCCTCTGTAATCCAACCCCAGAGTCGGGGAATAGAAGAGATGGGCCCTAGCAGAGACAGACTATTGACTCTTCTAAGAAATCCTGTAGGATGCAGGGATGACAGGTACGAGTGAGTATCCCTGAAAACTGCTCAGGAAGATTCTACCCGAGTCTTCACCTCAGGACTTAGGATGGGCTGTTCTTCCGAAACCACCAGGTTCACTTGATGAGACGGTGCTTGGGAAACAGAAATAACCTGTTGACACCTCGGCTGCCATGGACAGAAGTCCAGATGTGAAAGCAGCCTTCCTGCCTGGCATGGACTCATGCTACTATGTGACAACCAGTCGAAAGAGCGAGAGATGGAGGATGGCCATATTTTGGTTTTCCAGGAGATGAAAAGCTCATGTCTAACGATCCTAATGGCTTATGAACCTCAAGGAATAGGAGCTCCTCAAGGGCAGGCAGCGTGGTGATTTCCTGATTTTGCATCTAGCGCCAAACAGTATATTTATGTAACAGGTGCTCAGTAAAAGCTGGTGAGTAGAAATAAAGAGGCATGAATGTAAAGTCTCATGGCAACAAAGATCTAAATTAAAATACTTGACTAATTTTCTAAACACTTGAATTCTTTGTCTTTGCTTTTTCTTCATGAAAAGAAAAGAAACAAGTCTTAGCAGAGTGTCGCATGTCTACAAGGGGCTTAGTCATTTCTAGTCTTATGACTTCACTCTGCATGGACAGCAAGGATGATATTAGAGACCTGGAGGCACATCTTTACGCTATAGTGAACAAAACTATTTGACAGTGTGACCCAGGACTACAAGAGCAAATGGAAGCTTGGACTTCTTTACCTGAGCCCATGACCTCTAGGTCAGGGCGCATTCAACTGTCATGTGCGCTGAGGCACCTGGGTTTCTTGTTTAAATGCAGATTCTGATTCTGTAGGTCGGAGGGCCAAGATTCTGTATTTCTTGCAATCTCCCTGGTGATACTGCACCGGTCCCTGCACCACACTTTGAATGACAAGGTTCTAGGGACCTGTTTAAGAGTAGCTCCTCCTATAAAAGCAAGATGCTCTCAGCTAGTTCACACAGAAAAAGTTCCTTTCCTTAGGGAGAAAGACTCAGTTTGCGCTAGTCTTAACATTTCTTTAATATTAGCCAATCTCCTGAGAAAAGAGAAAGAGAGCAGGAGGTAATGGAGAGAACTGGCCCCAGGCTCCTAGCCCTCAGCAGGCACCAGCGATGGGCACCAGGATTTAATAACACTGCCTTGTGTCCACTGCACTTATTGTACACCACCTTCTGTTTATGGCAAATGATGCAGGTTTTCTGCCTGAGTCAGTAATATAGCATTTCCTTTAAAAATTTTTTACTTTACTTTAAATGAGGTGAGTTGAATAAAGGGAAACAGACGTCAAACAATGGTTCTGGTGGTATTCAGATATAACAAACCAATTGTAAGGCAGAGTGGGCCAAACTGATTAGATATTGTGGGAACTCCGTGGAAACCATATGCGAACTCTTATAGATGGGAACATTTTTCCAGGGAGAGCCCATAGCTTCCATCAGATTTTCAAAGGTGTTAGAAACTAAAACAGAACTGAAGGACCCACCGCTATAAAGTCAAGTTTAACTAAACACCAAAGCGTTACAAAGTCTACACACTACCCCATAAGCCTAGCTCCTGAGATATTTAACAGGGTTCTGAAGACTTCTATTTTGTCACAGTTACAACAATCATCAGAAAGCAGTGTTGTCCTATAAAGATGATTAAATTGTCCTTCTTCTTGCAGTGCAGTATTCCAGAGAAATCTAGACCTGGAAAATGTTAACAGGTGCTTGGCCAAAGAGAAGCTGATAGAGCAAATAAATAGGTTTGGGTAATTCTGCCTACTGTATCCATTCCCCACTCCCAGGGCATTTACCATGCTAATTAGCGTATTCAAGATTCTGAGAAGTCCTCTACAAGAGGAATCTGTTTATTTTTGTTCATTCTGACATTTCCCAAATCTATTGATCATGGAACCCCCTTTGCAAACACCATGTATGAACAACTTAATTAGCAACTTAAGAACAAGTGTCCTGGGGGCGTCACTGGCTGCTTCACGAACTAGCCCCAAAGTTGGGGAGATGGGATATTGCAAATAAGAGGCAGAATCCCTAATTTTCCGAAAGGCACAGGCTGTATTTCCTGGGGCAATTACTAGATGGCAAGTGCTTTGGTCTACGGTTGACAGCAAGCAGAAGCGGTCAACAGCAGTTTTTAGAGTTAGAATAATTGCCATTCCAGTTTAGACCACACACATTTATGGAGAAACTTAGTTGCTGTCACTGAGTCCATCATGCCTCTAGTGCCAAATACACTGATCTGTCCGCATCTGGCTGCAGGTGAGCAGCCACTGAAGGCATTGTTTGCACACTTTTATTGATCTTTGTCTTCTGTTTCAGAACAAAAACTCTTGGTAACTTTAAAGGAATGCTCGAGGAACACAGCTGTTTTCTCCTCTTCTGCTGCCTCTGTCACTGCGCAGGAACCCACTGCCACTTAACAACTCAGCAAGCTCAGAAGCATCGCTGGGGCAGCCCAGATTACACAATGGTTGGCCATGAAGTTGAATAAAACATTATCGGATTTTGCCTGGCTGACCTCCTGATTGCGCCAAAGAGTTTTTACCCTTTAATACTGAATATCTTCTTAAAAGGCACCCTCTTACCCTATTCTGTAACATCAGTTTTCAAAAAATGCTCTTGTACTTTTTGAAAAGACATTGAAATATGAAAGTGTTTTCCCAAAAGTGGAAATAAATACATCTTGAAAGTTGATTTTTCTTGATTTTCTATTACTCTTATTAAAAAGAAAATGAGAACTAGAACTCTGTGAACTCGTATCCTCTGAATATTTTAAAACTTAGAGGCCATTTGACATTATACAGCATCTAGAATCTTGAGTTATATTTGGCCTCAAATAACACTTAAAGAGAGTTATGGATTTGCTGAATTTCTTCAAGAGCAGTGTTGGAAAACTTTCAGCAAATGAATCAGCGGGCAGCCCTTTTTTTGTTGGGTGTGGGCTTGCATCCACTTTAATAATTATCCACCTGTTCTTGCGCATCTGCCTTTGAATAAAAAGTGGTGATGGCTTAAAGAGCTGAAAAAGGCAAGGAAGCTTACATTAATTACAAGAACGCGTGGATTTTAGAGCTTGGCGGGAGTAGACCATGCAAATTCAAAGATTCAGAACAGGGCTTACTACCCTAACTTTTAAGTAATTTAAAGAAAAAACCCTAAATTTCTGCTCTGGGATCTGATCGTTAAGCTCTAGCGTGGAGGGAGAAAGGAAAAGCTGTGTGCCTTTCAAATGGCATGCCTACAAGCAGTTCTTTTGAAAGAAATCCACTAAAAGTGGATATTTCATCAGCATCCATAAACTAAATTTATGCTTATAGAGAACTTATTATTCTTAATAATGACTCCTAAAAACGAGACAAGGACGTTCTTCATACCTCCAGCTCCAGCTCCTCTCTGTCCATCTCCTGATGGATGCCTCCGATGTAGTCGTTTGGATCGTAGTATTCGTGGGCTGCGGGATGCCTGAAAAAAGACGAAAGCTCTTTGAGGCCCTGCTTCCAGTTATAAGCATCTGTTTTCATCGCCCCATCCTAAGTCCCAGCAGTGGCATGGCAGCAGTTCTCAGGTTCCAGGCACTGTCACAGCTCACACCTTTCTGGTTGTGTTGCTCAGCACAGTCAGGCCCTCCATTGTAATATTGCCACCACTTGCGCTAAAGTCTGTTTGCTCTGGAAGAAAGAGTTAAGATCCAGGGTGAGAGTGGGGCTGGCTTTGTTGTTTCCCGTGACCATACCCTAGCCCACTAGTTATGTGATTCAGTATGACTAATTTCTCATTCAGTCTCTAGACAGGAGACAGGGACTGAAACCACTGTGCTATCATCACGGACAGTGTCTTTTCAAACTTTTTTGACTGTACCCACAACAACATGCTTGACATCACGACCCAGTATGCACATACATGTGCGTAATGTACGTACGTACATACATACATGCATAAAATGCACATGTGTATGTGTGCATACATGCACACACACACACACCCAGCTAGGAGACCAGAAGCTTGTATTTCTCCAGGACAACATATGTGAAACAATTCACAGAACCCTCCACCGCTTTGGAAGCGTCATTAATGGAAGCTCTAGGAGCAAAGGCGGTGGGAATTATAACATGCTCGGTCAGCAGCTTTGAAAGGTGCCAGATGCAGATGGAAAGCTTCAGCCTCTGATTGTTGGCTGGGGACCCAAAGCTTCACGTTCTCAAAGGTCAGCGCAGCAATCAATGGGCACTGGTCTTCCCTCCCAGGCACTTAGATTTGAAACAACAGATCAGACATGAATGGTCATTCAAACGAGGGCGGGCTTTCAAGTCTCTGGACCCATCAGGCAAATATACTGCCTGCACTTAAGGGCTTTTAGGACCGAGGATGCTGATGGCAGGCTTGGGCTTTCAAGTTTCAAGTTAGTGCTCCCCATCCAGTCCCAATGCACGCACTTGCTGTCCTCTGACCTTGCAGCCAGAACCTTGGGAAGTCTGACCTCTGGACTCTTCTGACATTTCTCAACTTGCCCCTTGGGGATCAGTCATGTCATGTTAACTAGACTTCAGAGGAAATTAGGGGTTTGGCTTTTAAAAGGCCCATCACCAAGACAGTTTTACATCTGAGAGTCAGGAGTAGCCTTAAATGCCTCATCAATAACCAGAGGCAGTTTTGGTCTACACTGTCAAATAACTGGTTTGAATGGTTGTATGCAGTGAACTGGCCAGTTGTTTCCTAGGATCAACTGGGATGCTATAGAGTATCCTGGTTAAGAGCTGGGAGTTCAGGTGAGACAGACCCGCCTTTCAAGCCAGCTGCCAACTTCAGCTGAGTAGAACTGGTGAGTCTGCAGTTGCTCACGGTATAAAAGAGAGACGGGCGTGAGAAATCAATGGGATAACAGTTCTTTGCACACGGCCTTGCACACTGTGCGTGAGCGTCAGTGGGTGCCCCCTCCTCTACCTCTACATGCTGTCAGCTGCAGTCGAATTTACTTCGTCAAGCCTGGGGAATTAGCCCTGGGTTCGGATGACAGCTGACCCTTAAAACAATGCAGTGAAAGGCAAGCTGCTGTCTGGAATTTGACGGAACCAACAGGACACGTGTGCTCACTCCAGCTCCTGAGTTACTAATAGAAATCCAACAGGTATTGCTTCCAGGGAGGTTTTCCCTGGAAGAGGTGACAATCCCCTTTGAAATAATGCATCAAGTCAATGATCTGAACCAGGAGCAAGATGGGCAGAGATGGGAGTTCCTCTGACATCACCTAGAGAGACTGAGATGCGGAAGTGGACATGGTGCCCACAGATGTGCAAAATCATATTCGAAAAGCTTTATTAAACTGGACATCTTTGAAGCCAGGGGTCTATCTCAGAAAATTTCTTGCTCTTCACTTTTTTCCTAAATATTTTACATCAATCACTAAATTAACGTCGACTGCTGCTATCATCTATTGGGTGCTTACCATATGCCATGCTGAGAACTTTCCATACGTTATTTCATTTAATCCTTCAACAATCCTATGAGATAGGGACTATTATTATCCCAATTTTAATAAAGAAAAAAATAAAGCCCAGGAAAATAAATTACCCAAGTTGCATGGCTAGACATTAGTCTGAGCATCAGGTTTGTCTGACGTGAACTATTCTACGTCACGGCAGAAAGTCAGGTAAGAGGAGAGTCACGTGTCAAGTAATTAATATGGTGCGAGGATCACAGCTGTTATTTAATTGGTCAATGCAGTACTTATAGGAGGCATGTGTGGCTTATTACATGGATCCAGATTTGAAATGAGGCCCAAGAAAGCAGAATGCACAACCTCCAGGTCTCTCTTTTCATTCCCAACTTACTTTGTTGTCTATTTAAAAGAACCATCAGCATTCCCTCTCGTTCTAACTACAAAACCCTCACATCACCATTTGCAGTGATTAAATTTTGTTCTGAAACAACTTCACGACATTTGTGAGTAATTTTGTTCTTAGAATATAATTTGAATAACTCCGCTCCAGGGTGATAATAAAGTAATTAATATGTCGGAGCGGTTTTGAGCAGGATTCAATTTATTGCCTCTATAAACAGTAAAGTTAAACATGGGCAACTTGGAGGAACATTATAGGACACATTAATTTTTTTCACCACATGGAAGGGAAAAAACCAACTTCATCGCACTTCACCACACTTGAAGGACTAGTGACGCACAATCACGTGACTTACTCCTCTGGCAAGAGATAGGGATCCAAGACGGGTGGGGTGGGAGAGGACATCTTAGTGAGAGCCATGATGTGCTCGAAGGTGATGTCCGTTTGGGTTCCTGTGTCCACCAGCTGTGACTCTGACGGAGGCGTGAACATTTTGGTCCGCGGCGTTCTCCTCAACACCTGTACCACGATGGGCTCTTTGGCTGTCTTGAAGGCTTCCACAGCCTGGTCATGAGTTGCTCTGGATAAGTCTTTACCGTTGACCTGTTGAAAAACATTTAGGGTGGGAGAGGATTATAATCAGCAGAAGCTGGAAAGACTGATACACGGGTTGACTGTTTTCCCGTAGAAGCAGCTTTGGAAGAACAACATGGGGGTGTCAGAGAACTTCAATTCTCTCTGTTTTAGGTTTCCCAAGGAATGCCTGGTGGGACGGGAGTGAGTTTGGAGGTATACAGATCTGGCATTAAATAATAAATGTCACAGCGGGGAAGTCCTGGCTGGAATGTCTTTAACACAATTTCATCACATGCTAATCTTGCCTGAGAGAGAAAAGAGCGGCCTCAGGCTCAGAGCCTTTATCACGCAATAATAGCTAACTAGAAATTAATTACATTGTTATGTTTTAATGGCATGTGCTTTTTCAGTATGCATCAGGTGACAATAGTTTTCCTTTTATGGAAGTGATATGAAGTTTCCTTTTTAAATGTATTCCTTTGCTTTTCTTTAAAAGCTGATTGAAAATATTAAGTAAATGATCATACAGGCCATAGGTGGATATGGCAAATATCAAGGAGGAACTCAAATGGCTGACATCTTGGCTGACATTTGGGAAACAATAGCTAGCTTAATTGCTGTGTTGTTTCTGACTGTGTACAATCCTTTGCTACTGCTATACCCCCACTGCCTGTACTTATTGAGTGCCTATTGTCTACCGCATGACTTAAATGAAGATACCTCTTAACAGTTCTCTCATCGTAGTCCTGGGAAGTTGGCAGGACCAAAGCATGTTCATCTCCCTCCTCTACCAGCCTCAAATAAACTGCATGAGATCACCTTGCTAGTTAGTGGTGGGTCAGAATTTTGGATGCTGTATCCAGGATTCTTTCCAATGGTACAATCAAAAAATAACTCAACATGACTATCTTTAGAAGAGCTTACACAAAAGGAAATAGAAGCCAGAACCTTATTTCTAGAAGATGAAGTCATTCCAAGCAATATGGAAGTCCAACTATTTAAATCACTCTCCCCGTTCTACTCCCCCCAGCAAAGGAATAGGAGGTAATGTTCTGGCAGTTTGGTAATGTCTCATGGCTGCTCGGCAGGAAAGTTATCAGTCTCTGAAATATTTCAATATTACTCCCCAAGTGGTTGGTTTGCCTTTTAAGTCAAATATAAAATGATGGTATAGAAATCATATTCTGCAGAATATATATCAGCATAAGTTCCTCAGCTTCTCAAATCTCTGGAGAGCAACACTGACCGATTCATGACACTTCACATAGGAGTTCCTGAATTTAAATCTCTTAGATTAATATTCCATTCTTTCAATATGCATGTTTTTAGCATTTATTTATAATATTAAAGCAAACATTGAACCTTTTCCTGTCTGGCAGATACATCCCCCCTCAGTATCTTATACTTCAAAGCACACTGACCATTAGGTCCATCCTATGAGGTAGAAAGCACTTCAGTTGCTCTTTGTCCAAGCAGAGCTCGAGTACTGATTATGCAGATGTTTTTCTATTTTTCCTAAGCCCTTCCACTCTGGTCCTACAGGGACAAGAACTCTTGGGTTGGAGCGCCTTGTAAACAACTGTTGGGATGAAAAATAGAGGTCGGATTCTTTCCTCGTAATGAACCCCAAATGAATCAAGCCAGTGGAGATTATTAATGCTTTGGATTCAATCCACTTAAGTAATTTACTCACATCATGAGGGACTTAGGCACAGTGAGAATTCTGGGCTACAAAATGACTCAAGTGCACCAGTAAATAAGTGAATGGCTGAACCACCAAACTCTTAAATCCTCCAGCCCGGAAGGTTGGGAACACTGGGGTTTAACACCACAACTGTCTTCACTCTTCCCACCTTGAGAAAAGAATAAAAGGACACAAAGGAATTCTTTCTAGCTTTCCAAACCAGCTGACCATCTTGACCTCTTCCCGCTCAGAACCCAGAAGGCTCAGGGCTTAGGATGGGAGGGAACAAGGTGGGAGTGGGTGGTTAAAAAGCAACTTGCAGTGCTGTGAAATTCATGCTGAGGCAGCACTATCTGAGCCCTATTTTCCATTAATGTGTGACACCAAGAGTCAAATAATATAGGAATTTACAATGTGGTAGTAAATTTGTCCCTGGGTTAAATTAATGCAACAGACAGCACCCTTAGGAGATGTGGTCAATGCCACCTAGCCACGCTGGTCTTCCACCCTTGGGAGTCACTGGGGATGGCTTGTCCCAAAGCTAGAATTGCCCACAATGAACTCAGACAGTAAGACTTTTGAATGGGTGCTACAAGACCTGTCAAATCTGTGCCTTCTCTATTTATATATAAATACCAGGCCTTTTGCCAAAAGGGAATGAACATGGGATTTCCTTCTAGGAGTCTCCTAGTTGTAGCTAAAAAGGAGTCCGTCCTAGGAATCTTTAGTTTTTACACACACAATAGGTCTTGCAAATACCACAGCAGACAATGCCAGCTGCCCAGTCAGCAAGCATCCCTCCCGGTTCCTGCTGCTTCCTCTCCACTGAGAGAGCTTGGATTCTGTTTCCTTTCCACCAGATCAGAGGGCATTCCCTCTGGGGGGACTGGAGGTGTGGGTTTGACTGGCTTTAGCCCATCCGGTGGATCTGGTCTTGCTCCTTCTGCTGGTGATGGATTTAGGTAGGGGCGTGCAACATACTTCTGGCTGACAGGACAGGATGGGGATATGCTAGGGAGCACTGAAGTTTTGTTCATTCTTAAAATAGGACACGAGGTAGGGATGGCCCTTTTCTGCCTCTGGGCAAGTCATGTGCATGTGTTGGACTCATGGGAATATCTTGGGATCATGTTAGGAGCCAGTCTCTGAGGCCAAATAAACATACTGACAGATGCGGAGCAGAAAAATGGGAGAAGTGGGGTCTCTCATGATACTATTGAGCAAATGAACTAAGAAAGCTGACTCTCTTGACCCCAAACTTCTTGTCATATTTAATGCTACATTCCTTACACTTTAGGTCATTTTAACTTGGGTCTTCACTACTTGCAGCCCAAAACATCCCAATCGGTGTAACTATCACACAGATGTGTTGTAAAACTACAATCAGAATGCATTCTGATTAGTTCCTAGAAACATCCTTGTGTCCATATAAAGGATTAGCAAAAGTGCTTTTCTGATTGGGAGTGCATCTTAATCAGATCACAGAAAAGCAATGGCAACTATTGCTTCACTTGGGCAGGTTTTATAAACCAAGGCTAGAACCACTGGGTGGATGTTTTAATGGTACCTAGGAAACGAAACATAAAGCAGCCTCCTGGATAGGTCTGAGCTGAGAGGACTCTCAGGGGCAGACAGCTCCCCTGTGTCTCAGAGCACAAAACTCCAGGGAGCAGGAAGACTTCTGTGAATCTGTCCCATTTTGGGAATTACTAAAAGGCGTTGCTGCAACAACGCCTGTAGCATCTCTACTGCGTCAGATGCAGAAAGAGCAGTGGCAAACCCAAAGGAGGCCTGGAACTTTGGGATAGCTGTGAAATGGCCTCTCATCCCACACCAGAACGTCACCCCCGCTTATGGCTGAGTCCCACAGAAAGGCACTTCTGACAACTGTGCCCAAGAGAACCATTTCAGCAGCCCAGTGCCACGTGTATATGTTAATCAAACACAGTTCACATAAGCCCGTGCACAAACCCGGTGACCTCCTTCCTCAAAGCTCAGGGAGGGAGTACGAGGGGACTGCGACTTTGGGCTCAGGCCAGGGCTGGAATCCTGCCTGTGGGCTTTGGGCGATTTCCCTATTCTCCCTAAGTCTCAGTTTCCTCATCCGCAAAATACATGTAATTATAGTGTCATGGCTCTTCAGGTTGTTATGAAGTTTAATGGGATTATCTGTTCCAGTTCCTAACATGCAAATAACAAGAATTTATTAGGGTATCAGTGCTAATGGCAAGCCTATACCAGAATAGTCACATTTGTCCAGGAGAAGATGATCTGTAAATCAAAGAAGCAAAATGCAGCGTAGGGAGGTAGTTTTAAGAGACATTTGTACACTGAAAGGCTCCCTGCCCATTTCATGTTCCCGGGCTGCCAACATCCACGTTAATACTGTCAGTCCTCGAGCTGGGATTCTCTGGGGGGGGGGGGGGGGGTCAATAGATAAATTTTACGGGACTTGACTCCTGCCACACAAGCCTCTTGACAACGTATTTTAGGGATCATTACATTCTCTTAAAAGACGATGAGACAAGGCGGGAGTTTACTATCCTAGACGATCCATTTTTGCAGCCAAATTTGTTTTGAATTACCTTGTGCCCATAACACTTATTACACTGTCATCTCAGAATCACATCACTGAGGGACTTAGCGAGGTGATGACTCCGGTGCACCGTCAGCCAACCGAGAATGACAACCTCTATTCCCGGGATGAGCATTACATCCACATTACACAAAACGGCGATGATGATGGCTGCAATTACAGACGGAATGCTCATCCTGTGACGTTTGGCCCGGTCAAATTAAATATCATTAACTCGCCCAATTGAGCAGATTGCTTTTAAAACAGTTTATGCAGCTCTAAAACCAAGTAAATGAAATGTTTTGGAACAAGAAATGCTGATTGCAAACTTTATCTTTATTATAAATTAAATGCTTAAGTTATTCACCTAAGGCTCTGGCTGGTCCCCTGGGACTTAGGTGCAATTATGGTGAAAATTCAATCAGCTTGTCTCAAGGCAAATATCACTGCTGCAAATATGACACGACACTAAGGGACCTTAAAAAGGTTCTTTAGCATAAGGTTTCCTGTGACAAGACAGACAGTTATGCTGAGGGTGTGGAATGATTCCTTCCTGGGTCCATTAAAGCCTGGGAAACATGCCTGCTGCCCTTTGCGAGGTGCTCGTGACTGTCTTTTCCGTGGCCCTGAGAACAAACGCAAAGCTGGTGGGTTTTTCCATTTGGGGGTAAATTTCACTCACAACTCATCTGTGTATCTTTCAGTCCTTCATTCATTCAGAAAGTATTGTTCCCCACTTGGTTGATGGGGTACCACTGGAAGAATTTC